CCGGCCTCGCTGAACGCTCCCCAGCGCCGCGCCCCGAACCCGAGCCCCGGGGCCATGCCGGTCATGAAGGGGTTGCTGGCCCCGCAAAACACCTTTCTGGACACCATCGCCACCCGTTTTGACGGCACGCGTGAGTGGGGCGGAGGCTGGGGTCAGGGGCTCGAGCTGGGGACCAAGTCTCCTCGGGGTCGGCTCGGGTCTCCTAGACATGGGGAGAGGAGAGAGACTGGAGTTGAGGGCCAAGGAGCTGCCGAGACTGCGGTAAAGGAACAGGACGGAGCTCCCTGCGAGGGGAGGAGAGAGAGGGGCCAAGAGCGCGGGAGCAGGGTTGGGGGGTGTGACTCCAGGCGGGAGAGGCTCTTTGTGCGGCAAAACGGAGGAGGGGCCTTGGAGCCGCCCACTGCCGGGCAGCGCTGTGCTGGGGGCGTGTACGGGGCCATCAGGGACACGGAGGGGGATGAAGTGGCCGGGCGTTCTGGGCTCCACTCCCAGATGACTCCAGCCCCCTCTTCCTCCAGAAAAAAGGAGAAAAGGCCAGACACCGGCAGGACCTATCTTGGGTTAAAGCCACGCTCCCCCAAATCGTAGGGCGTCTACATGTAAAGTGGGTGAGGCAGGAGGGGGAGAGCGACACGTGTGACAGGGAACTCCCTGCTCGCCCACCCAGCTTGGGTTCCAGGTTCAGCACCTTGGACAGCCGCGCCACTCCTTCCCCTCCTCTTCTCCCGCCATTCCCTCTTCCTACTCTGGAGCCGAGAGATGTCTCCCTGCCCCCCTCGGGAACCATGGCCTGGATCTGGAGGGTGGAGGAGCGGTTCCCGAAGGCGGAAACTGAGCCGCCCGGAGCCCTACCCGCCTCCCTCCCTCCGCCCCATCTCCCTTGTTTCCATAGCGCCCATCACCGGGGAAACGGGCTCTGGGATGGAAGAGAGAGGCTGCGCCCAGGGCCCAGTGCCTCCCAGGCACCCTCAGTGTCCCCATTAGCTGCCCCGACCCCAGACAGTCACCCCTCCTATTGCCCAAGGACTTGTTTCTCAAGTCCCATCCCTCAGCTGAAAGTCTGTCCCTGGATGGCCCCAGGAGCCCCCCTGCGGCGCCCCACCCATTGGAGCTGTAGGGAGCCAGCTCAGGTTCTGCTGCTGGGGATTGCTGGAGCTACGCCCTCAACGGCCTCTCCTGGCAGACTTTGAATACTGGGGACAGACCCTCTGAAAATAGCTAAAGGAACGCTAAGAAAATGGACCTTTCCTGGAAGGCAGGGAATAAGGATACTGCTCATCACCATCTTCCCCCACACTCAGGAGATCTGTGAATTTGGACAATCTCTGCCTTTTGGTTTCCTATCAATCAAATGGGTGTGATAGCACCAGAATCTTTGCCCTGCTCACTCTAGAAGAGGGCGACAGCAGTACGGTGGTTGCGGATGTGCTTTGAAAGCTGAGTGAATGAGAGGATTCACTTCACCTTCACAGAGTTAGCACTTACTACATGCCAGGTTAACTCATGTAACTCTCACAATAACCACGTGAGGAAGGTATATTCTGCCCTGCTTTGCAGATAAGGAAGCTGAGGCACGGAAGAGGTAATTAACTTGCCTAAGGTCACACTGTCAGTAAGTGACAGAGGAAGGAGGCTGGTGCCCATGCTGTTACTGTGCTATGTTGTCTTCTACTGTAATAGCTCACCAGCTTGAACGCAGGAGGATGAATCGCATGACCTCTCGGGGTTCCTTCTCCAACACCCCTGTAGTCCCTGTCTCAGTTCTAGGCCACCCTTGAGTCCTTGTCTCTTTGCTCTATTTCTTCATATTCTCATTTCAGGGTATCCCTAAGGGGGGATCAGGAACCAAGTGGAAGGCTGGGAAGCTTCTGGCTCTGTGACTTCTGACTATAGGAAGCCCACCTGGAAGCTAGCTCCGTTCCTGGCCTTGACCTGACCCTGACCTGACCTTGACCTCTTCTTCCCACAGACAGCAACTTCCTGCTGGCCAACACACAGGGCCCACGGGGCTTTCCTGTGGTCTACTGCTCAGACGGCTTCTGTGAGCTCACGGGCTACGGCCGCACAGAGGTCATGCAGAAAACCTGTAGCTGCCATTTCCTTTATGGCCCAGAGACCAGCGAGCCAGCCCTGCAGCGGCTGCACAAAGCCCTGGAGGGCCACCAAGAGCACCGGGCTGAAATCTGCTTCTACCGCAAGGACGGTGAGGGGCCTGATACACCCTGCAGCCCTGGCCAGACCCTGGGCCTTAC